CCCCAAAACCCCAAAACCCCAAAACCCCAAAACCCCAAAACCCCAAAACCCCTGGTGTTCAGCTGGGGTTGAAAGCAATCTCACTCGGAATTGACTTAGTTAGAATTTTGGAATTTAACGGAAAGAGAATAACAGATTGTTATAGAGAGAAAAGTAGGATAAGTTAGGAAATTAGCTTCAAAAATTGGTGGGATTTGGGTTTATTTCTGGAGTTTACATCCGCTCATACCCTCAAACTTTAACTTTCTGGCTTTGTCAAGGTCAATGACAGCGCATAGCTCTGAGTCCTTCTCGTCATCCCAGGTTTTCATCCTTTTTGAGGAGAAGTTAGACTTTATTGAGAGGTCATATTCGAAGTTGGTGACGGTTGACAAACTTTCAGTTTCGGTGTCAAGTCGATCACGGCTTGGTCCCATGATCGGCTTTTTCTCAAAAATGCTCCCGAATAGCTTGGACTTAGTTAGATTCCTGTCACTACGGGATAAAGACTCACAAGGAGTTTCCTGTTCAGCTTTTTGCTTGAGCTGATTTGAAATTTCTGCAAATTTCCTCTTTCTCTGAACATTTTGTATTAATGTTAGGTAACTAAGAGCATCAACCTTATCTTCTTTAGGAGTACGTACCCTCTCGCTACTAACCCTAGCTCTGCTTAGTCTTGACTCTGTTCTTTGCCTCTGTTTTAGCTTCGGTCTCTTTTCTTCCTCAATTTTTCTCTCTTTGGCAAAATTTCTGGTCTTTCTATCAACGTCTATTAGAGGTTGAGAAGACCTATGGATGCTCTTTGTGAGTCGTCTTTGTTGTAAAGATATGCCACCCCTGGTTACAACACCAAGATTCTTTATTTTATCTGTACTCTCGCTAAGATTTGCATTGTCAAAGATGTGATCCTGTCTTTCTTCGGTATATTTTTGTGATGGCATTATTTACCGTAATTTTTAATTATTCAGTTTAAAATTGATAGTAAGGGGTTTTGGGGTTTTGGGGTTTTGGGGTTTTGGGG